TGCTTTTACGTTGAGCACTGACATTGTCCCTGGATTAGTGTGGCTCCTCAGGGATCCCCAAGATGAACAAGAGTATTAGTGCCAGGATCAGAACTGCGCCAGGCATGACAGCAATAAGGCAAGAGCTGTTAGGTGTTATCTAACTGGAAGAATATCCACTAAAGATTGTGAGTGTTGTGCTGGATTTTATTTTAATAGCATTTCTGTGTTCTTTGGCAGATCTCTAGGTAACTTTCTAACTTTGAAATTAAATACTGCATGTGTTTTTGCACTTTTGACAAGTGATTTCTATTTGACACCAACGAACTTCTTTTAAGTAATTTTTTTTTCAGAACACTGCCTTGGTGGTTGTAGATGATTTTTATGAACATTCAGCCTGACCTTATTTTACTTTCTGAACATTATACCCCAATGTTCGTGTTTTAGTTTTGGGTAAAGTAAGCAACACTTGTTTTATTTCTGTTGGCAGAAGGACAGTCCACTCTCAGAAGGTCCAATCTCAGAAAGAGAACAGCTTGTTTCCTAATGTTCGTTGCTGCTGAAACACTTCTGTGAACATCAGTGTTAACATGTGTCTGGATGTGGGTGTAGATGAGCCTGGAAATGTGATCTTTATGATTGTTGAGCCAGCATGTCTTTTTTTTTTTTTCTTCCTTTTTTTTTTCTTTTAAATGTATATAACCAACTTGACACCAGTTCTGCAGTGCTGGGCTTTCCTACTAGTTTGTGCTACAACAGAATAGTTTCATCTGCTTTCAAGAGGCTGCCCTAAATTTATGTTGCTGTAACTTCACACAATTGCAGGTTACCCTTCTGATTTTTTTTTTTTTTCCTTTGGGTCACTGTCCAATGCACATTCCTTTTTTTTTTTTTTTTTTAATGGTAATAGGCTCCCTGGAGTACCTCTCTGACACAATATTTCTATCTGAGATTCCAGTCTATGAGTGTCTTTTTTTTTCTCTGTCTCTTGTTTTCTTACCAGAGCATGCACAGACAAGTAACTTCTCAGGTGCTTAGTCAGAGAAGCAGCTAACTGTCCCATCAAGTTTTTTTCTGGCTCTGCCTTCCCAGATTTGCCCTCATTTTTTTGAGATAACATGTTTCTGCTTTCCTGACCAGCTCTATTTTGTAAATGTAAAAATATCATCAAAGATCTGATCCTTTTGGATGTTTGTGGGTGAGTAGAGATGGAAGTAATTTGGATCCATTACACTATCTCCCCAGAAGTTCTTGCAGCCTGCAGCAGGGAGCTGCTGCATTTGTGAGCAGACTTTTTACAGCCACAATCTAATGCTATTTCTGTGCAACCATCGAACTTTGATACGGCTTCCAACACCCAGTTGGCTGCAGCTGAGCAATGGGTCACTTTGTCAGCTCTGTCTCTAAGTCCTCCTGTAGTGCTCTGGTGTCGCTGTTGGTACACAGGGACTGTGTGTGAGGTGCTTCACTGCTGCTCTGGCTGAGGCAGGTCAGGTTCTGGGTGCTCTGTGCTCCATGGTGGTGTTGCCCTTGGAGTTGCGTTCTTTGCTGTATTCGCTATGTGGCTTGAAAGAGACCCAACCCTCTTGGTTTCTCCATCTGCAGAACTCTAATTCTGTTGTGTCAGGAAAGAAATCTTGGAAAGCTGCCTACTTTTGTTAGCAGTGTATGTCAGTCCTTGAGGGTCTTATGAAAGCTGCAATAGGTCACACAATGGATGGTGTCTTTTTAACATGGGAAACTGGAGTGGAAAGGTAAATTGGGTGTCTTACACGCTGATGTATGTGCAGGTCTGTCACACCTTCAGACTGTTGTGTAAAGGAAAGTTGTCTGATTTGAAGGGCCTGGAGCTTTCTTCCCTCTTAGTTGAGTTTTCCTGTAGATTAGTGTGTGTGGACGCCCTGATTTTTAAATTTTTTTTCTTGTGCTTATATCTTGGAAACGGAAATTTTTGAAGATGTCATTTTAGAGCAGTCAGCTCAATGAGCTTGGTTTTGTTCTCCCAGGGCTGTGAAGACATATTTGAAGCCTATTTTGTGTAAGAAGTTACTTTCTTCATTGTGCTACTTTTGATGTACCATTCTAGAGATTCAAGATACCTACACAGTAATCTTCAGCTTGTACCCTGCTAGAGAGATGATCTATTTGTTGCAGAATGTTTTCTTTCAGGTGTTTTTGGACACTGATATAACTGAGACAATGGTTCGGCCATTCTTCTAGCCTTTGTTTTTTAATTTTTTCTTATAAAAATACACAGTTTCTGTTTTTCCTTTCTACTTGAAGTTTGCTAACTCTCATCTCTTTATATGTTAAAGGCTGAACATAAGAGCAGAAAGCAACTCAATTCTGCCTAGCCACAACCATGTAAATTGGACATCTGATCAAAACTATCTGTCTGGGTCTCCCTGAGTTGTCAGCGGTGAGAGCAAGGGACCTATAGAAAGACGTCTACTCAACCTATTTTGGATGCATCTCTAAGCATGGAGTGCATAGGTAGTGCAAGGATGGTGCTTTGTTTCCCTTTTAGTGATCTGTAAATTTACTTTAAATTTTAGACTTTTAAGAGTAGATGAATGCAGCCCTTGGCCTGGGTTTTCATCATCTTTTTTTAGATTGAGGAAAATGAGATTTCAAGAATTTCTCATCACATTTGCAAATACAGTATTGTTTTTATTCTTAAAATACTGTTCAGAGTTGATCTGAAATTGTTTCGCAATTACTACTTTAAAAAAATCTGATCTCCTTGATGTTCTATACTGAAATGTGTTTCTGAGTGGCAGGGACACTTTGCAGGTAGATTTATTGTGTTTTTTACCATCTGCTTTAGTAAATGAGTGAGCAGAACATTTCAAAATGACCTTCGGTTCTATCCATGAAATGTGAGTTTGAATGTTCTAAGTGAGTTATTGGCATTACACCGCTAAGGGTGCTTACTCTGGAAATAGTGATTTACCAGTTGTTTGGACGCTCGTGCTTTTATTTGTACGGAAATACGCTAATATACATTAATGTAGTGTTTCCACACAGCAGCACCATTAGACGCGTCGGGACTTTCTGTGGTCTGGTGTTGTAGGCAGAGGTCTCGTTGTTTGTCCTTGCACACTTTGTTGAAAAATATTGGATGAGTACTTTGCTGTGTTGCTTTTTAGTTGAAAAGAGTTAATAAAAATAAATGTACTAGAAGAAATTAATGAAATCAGTGAACAGATAAAATATTATTATTTGAAATGCATAATGTTGCATAATGGATTTGTATAGTGTGGCAGAGATGAAGTGCTTTCCAGACATAGTGAAAGAACATGGATTCCTGTTTCCGTAATTGAAGTTCTTTTGTACTTAGCTGTTGGAAAAAAATAGAAGGATTTTTTAACAGATATGCTTTCCATTAGTAAATATATTTATCTGTAGCTCCAGAAACTCCACCAAGTTTTCAAAGAAAAGAAAAGTCGGAAGGAGAATGCATTTTCTTTCAAGATAATTAAATGTTGTGACTGTAGGTTTTACCTGCAGAGTGGGTAGAGTATATCTGCGTTTAAAAAGTTTTAATTGCTTACATAGTTTACAAGAGTTGCACAGAGGCAAAACGTGCTTCATCCGTGGGATAGGAGAAAAGGGTAAAAATACATTATATTCCACTTTTCTTTTTTTGAAGGTAGTGAACTGTTATTAATAGGTTGTAAAAGTATTTGCCATTAGCGGTCTGAAAACTGTTGCGTAAGGTGTGCTCTTGCTGTTCCTCAGGTCAAAGTTTCGAGGCTTGACGATCTCATTAACCTGTGGCTATATGCAAGGTGCTGGCAGGGGGATGAATGTCAGCCTGGATTTCGGGCTTGGTTCTGCTCTGCAAGGCACCACGCAGAAATAGAGGAAGCCTGGGAGCTCTGCTAAGTTCAGTCTGGTCCTCTGAATGCAACCAGAATAGGAATAATTAAAACCCAGTGTCACCTGGTAATTCATCCTTGCTCTAAACTCTTGACCTTACTGGCAAACTGAGAAGTTTTTGAAGTTTTGTTTTTCTTGGCACCCTGGTACCATGATCCACAGCTTCATTTGTCTTGGGAATTCAGCTCTGCATTTCTCTACAGGGCAGTTTCACTATTGGAAAAGACCTTCATCTGACAGCCCCTCTGAGAAGTGAAATTAGAACCGTTAGGTAAATTGAAATACAGAGGTACCTACCTGCAATTCTCTCATAATGGTTGTTGACAGAACTGGGCTTCTTTTAAGAGAGCTGTGAATCTGCTAGTCTTTGATAGGAGAGCTTTACTTTTCCTTAGAAACAAAA